CACATGAGCTGAGTGAGCCACACTGCAGAAGCCGAACGTGCTGTGATTTTATGTACAAATGTGTTTAATTTAGAGACATTAAATGCTGGTTGTTGCTGACATGGGCAATGTCCAGTGCAAAGTTAAATAATGAAAATTGCTCTGTAAATGTCATCATTTGAGATGCTACAACTATCAACAAATGCTGTAAGGGCACTGAACCATCAACACTGCCTTGCAGAGTAGACTATTGAAAGATTAATTGCACCTGAATGTGTCCTTGGTTGACACTCAGCTGCTGAAAAATAAACACATTCTTGGTATAAGTGAAATAGCACATTAATTAATATCACGTGCATATTGTAGCCCATTCAGGATACAGCTGCAGTGAGCAGCTTCTCTCAACAGCAAGCATGTTGGGAGACATCTTTGTTTTACTTGGCTGCTAGACATGAAGTTTTCTGGCATCTGGATCATCTAAAAGACAAATGGGTGTGTTAGCTTGATAGAATAATTGTTCTGATTTTGATAGGCTACCAGCTTCACATTTGTCTAGCAGCCAGAAAGTTTGCTTCGAAAATCCTCTGGGATATAATATAAACCAGTTTGTTGATTACAGCTCAATTAACTTTTAAGATAGATTAATGGGGTGGCTTATGACGAACTGCGTGGTGGGGGTGGGGGCAGATGTAAGTCAGGTTAATTGTACACTGCTTTGTCCACACATTTGTCCAGGTATAAAATGTGTGCAAGTGCTCACCTTTGTTTACACTCCAGGTGAGGGTTTCTTTAGGGGGTATCCTGCCTTGTTTATAGTGGATTTCTGCCCCTCAGACCATTCCTTCTTCATCTTCATATTCTGGGCTGTACAGCATCAGCATTCTCCCCTTAGACCCTGGGCCTAACCCCAAAACTTTCTTAACTTTCTTGAGAAAATAATGCCAACTACCGAGAAAATATACCGTTCCTCACACTCAAGGGAGTTGTAACTTAGTTAACTATTTCAAAATTAATACATTTCAGGATATCAAATATGACTGCTGAACACCTCCTACATCTGCCTACATTTTTGTTTCCGAAATTACAACAGTCTCTAAATTAAACATGAAGCAAGAACACATGTGTGGCACTCTTTGTGTCTTCCTACTCATAGATTATCACTGATGTTGCGTTGTGCTGCCTTTAGGCATCACTCAGGGCACAAACACACTTTTAAGCATAACAGGTGGTGAACGGCTGCCATCTAGTGAAATAAAGTTCGAATTACAAACTTTAGCTTATTCAAATTAACCAAACTTGTGGGTGTGCAAAGCAATGGCAACCCACCTGTTAGTAGCACATAACGAGCCCAACACATAGGCTAGTTTTTTACGCTAACAGTTAGCTGTTTACATTTTAGACCAGGAACAATGTTTTTTTTTAAACTTACCTGGCTGTCTGAAGCGTCTCCTAGGTAACCTAAACAGTTATGGTAACGGTACAGTATGCACCAAGAGTAAGCGTCATTGTTGAACTTTAGCAGGGAACTTAGTGAACACAAACTAGTCTTATAGTCTGTAGTTTTCTAATTGGGATAATGGAGCAAGTTAATTGAGCGGATATGATCCCTCACTCCATACCAGTTGGTGGCTGCAGTGTCTTCCCTTGTTTGCCAGAAAACGAATATCAAGAGGGAGGAGGAGAAGAAGTGGAGGGTAGGAATAAAACAAGTAAGGATCTCTCACAATTTAAAACTAAGGTTGGCTGGTTTCACGGTCGACAATGTGCAGCTGTTGCTAATGTTAATGTTTGTTTATGTAAGTAAAATGAATTAACTCTGTCCTGCAGTGGTGGAATGTAACTAAGTAGATTTACTCAAGTAAAAATGTGAGGTATCTGAGTCTTATCTTTTCATCCCACTTTCTGCTTCTACTCCACTAGCTTACATTTCAGAGGGAATTTTTTTTTTTTTTTACCAGCTTTTAGTTATTAGTTACTTTGCAAAGTAAGATTTTTGCATAGAAAAAGTAAATTTTAAGAGTTAAGAAAAATATTATGCCTTCTTATAAATTAAACAATTAATCAATTAATTGATTGGCAGTTTGGTTAATTGTCATCTTTTTCATTGCAAAAACATTTCTTTTTCTTTTTAACTATTTTAATTTATTTTGGTTGGAAAGCCAGCATTGTGAAGGTGTGATTGGCATCTCTTGTTATTTTCAGATGTTTTTACAAACCAATAAAGTGATTAACAGAGAAAATAATCAGCATGGATTAATCCATAATGAAAATAAATCATTAGTTGTGGTGAATTGTTCAAAAGGAGTTCTCCCTCAACCAACAACAACAGTGAAATCCTGCTGAGTTTTAAATGATATATAATAGTTTAACAGTCACAGGGGACATTTTTCTGCACGGAGTAACTTGATTCTGGCGGTGGTGTTTCCACTGCCTTGTTTAATTGTTTTCAAGGGGAATCCAACCACATTTGACCCAGTGGCAGGCATTAAAAATAACTATTGAACTGACAGTCTTCTCGCTGTTGGTCTTGTGTGCTTATTTATGTCATATAGTGGCATCAGTATGAAAATGAGACAGTTAACAACTCCCTGTAGTAGTTTTAAGTGACATTTATGAATACAGGACTGTGACTTGTATTTTTACATGCAGTCACAGTGTATCAAAGTGGATGACACAGAAACACTTGGCTTCTTTTATTCATCGAAATCTCTATTAATTCTCTTATCAGAAATGAAGATAAAAAACTAAACAGCTTGATTGTATGCAGTTAAGTTTAGAGATTAAAGAGCCATGCTGCTGTTCAGCCAATTAATTACAAATGTCTAGACGACAGCATGTCATTTTACTGAGAGCTGCAACCAACAGTTATTTCCATTATTGATTAATCCATCTATAATTTCTTGATTAACCAATTAATTTTTTAAAAATCATAAAATAAGGACAAATGGCCATCATAATTTCCAAGAGCTTGAGATGACATCTACAGAATTCTTGTTGTGTCCGACCAGGAGTCCAAAACCTAAATATATTCAATATACAGTGACGGAAACCAGAGAGAAGTAGCACATTTTAACATTGGACAACAGTGAATGTTTGACTTATCGATTAATTGACTAATTGTTTCAACACATACTTTAATTTGCTTGATAGGTAATCGATCACAGAAAATGGCCTATAATCAAAGTTGTTGTCTTTGTGTAATGTACCATAGTTGAGTTCCTTCATCCCAAACATTTTAATGCAAGAAACTACAAGATATGAGTTATCTTTTTCATCATGATCATGATTGCTTGTGTTTGTCACCCAACTTTTATTCTCAGCTGTCACACTAACATTTGAGCACATCGGATGAAAGGCTTTTCAAAGAAGTCTTAGCTTTCAACTGCAGGAAACAACCAGAACGTACCACCGACAGTCTCTCTAAAAAATTGATTTTTATATCATACATAAATAAATGGAAACCTCTGGCTACATTTAAAAAAGGAAAAATCAATTCATAAAATATAAAGTGCTTGAATAACATGCAGTGTGCTAGTGATGTGTAGTAGTGATAGTGAATTGGGTAAAATGTTCAAAAACAAACAAATTATTGAATCAATCAGAGGAGCATGCCTTCTGAAGCTTCCTGTTGAGAACAGGTGGTAGCCAGTTCTTTGTAACTGTTCACAGTATATTCAAACAGGGATTGCCAGCAGATTATTTCCTCAGAATTGTAAAAGCTTCACATACCACAACACATTTATCAAGCTGTGCCAAATAATCCTCAAATTAGCTTTCATGATTAAAATGTTTCATCTTGTGTGCATTGTTTCCCAGCAGACTACTTTCACCCTATGGAAATGTTAACATGTTTATAAAGGCAGTCGCAGCCAGACTGAAAAATGGTACACCCAGACAGAAGCAGTGCATTGGGTGGGGATGTAAATGAGGTGTTTTTGTGAGCTGTTTACATCAAGGGTGCTAGTTTTTAAAAAAAAATCAAGCGACAGTTTGTGTCGAACTCGTATCCCACGCGTTCTTGCCTTCATGAGGGTGGTGATGGTTGCTCTGTTGGTCTGAAGGTCTGTGCCTTGCTAAGTGTGTGTGAGAAAGAATACACTGTAGAGACATATTTGGCTTTTATATAGACAGGGATTTAGCTGTTTCTACAAATGATTGGCTTATTGGTTAAAATTCAATTACAATCAGTTCTTTTTAAAAACGAAACAGTCTTCCACACTATATATAGCTATATAGTTAATCGTTTGTACGTGCAGTGATTTTTGCACATGCTGTAAAGCAGTAAAAGTTTCAGGTTAGCCCTGTTTGTGCAAAATATATAGTGCAAAAAGTACTAGTTCAAATTTATTAAAGTGACACTTTATATTGTAATAATACGTGAGTTTTTAAATAATGCTTCAGCAACTAAATGGAGCTCTGTTGAATCATGGGATTCCTTACCGTAGTAGACCCATAAATTATAATTTTTAAGTTCAAATTGTTGAAATTATACATAGTATATGAAGCAGATACTAATAGCTTGGACTTTGTGCAACTTTTGTTAAATAATTGTGGAATATTTGCTCCAACTGTTATAATTAGGGGGTTTTAGTCTCCAGCGTTTCATAGGTATTAATGTGATATAATATAAATCTTTCTCTTATTCTTAACTAAATATACCATACACATAACAGGCAGCTACCTAGATCATGCATGTCAATTCTTGACATCCTAATGTCTGACACTGACGTGGCTGTATAAATTAAAAATCTAAATGTGCGAATATTTCTACTCAACTGTAATTGTTAATTAAAAGATCCTGCCGTTCCTTGGTAGTACTGTGCACAGTTAAAGGAATAGTGTCTGTTCAGTTTATCTATAGAGCAAAACACACCGCGAGTGCCAGCACATCCTGTCTGATGTGGAATTTTAAAATTATTATATTGTGATTTATTTTCTGTTTATTTTTTGTATTGTCACACAGGAGAAACTCGATGAGAAACTCGTAATATTGCCACTATAGTCAAACTAGAGAAAATTACTTTTACAATAAACGTAACTTTATTGACAGTAAAAAGTTTTGAGAATATCGAGGGGCACGCATTTGTAACTGCAAGAACATCTTGGAAAGCAACATGACTTTTTGAAATACAGTAATGAGGCAGTTGTACATCTTTAACTTTTGAGGTAAAGTGTTTTGTCATGTTACATCATTCACAAAATATCATATAACATTTAAAAGTCCACACAAGGAGACAAAATCCCATGCCTCATTTTCACTTCTTGAAATTACTTCACATTTCAAAAATAATTCACAATTCAGGGAAAAGCAGAAAATGACAAGCACACATGCTATATTCCATTCACACACACTTCTCTACTTATCAAACCAAGTGCATTTTTAGATTAACTTTTTTCTCAAACAGTTTCAAGTATATTTTTGCCTGCGATTAAAGGAAATTAAGTTAAACTATGAAGCAGCAAACCCACAATAACAAGTAAGAATACTGAGTTTGGTCTCATTCATGTTCCCAATATTAACATTATCAGATAACTCACCATACTGTAGCAATAAGGTTTTTGGGTGCTATAAAGAAGCAGGAGGTAACATTTCATGGACTTGAGGAATATGCTGGATAAGATTTGGAATATAGCTGATTAAATACACCAAGGCTGAAACAAACAACACTAAATAGATAATCACAAGTGATAACTGAACAGATCCAAACTGATTGTGTTAATTCATTTTTAAATAATTCATTTGTTAATTCACTTACATTATGCAAACAGTTTAAAAGCTCAGCCTAAACCGCTGAGTGCAAAACCACAAAAGAATTGCAGCAAACTTGAGTGTAGACCGCAGAACCAGTGCAACGCTGTGGGGATTCTGTAGAAGGCCGGCTCCGTTAAAAATACACTGGTGTTGCAAATTAGATGGATCAATTATTGTGAGTAGTATGCGATTTATCAGTGCAGTAGAACAATCACAGAAAAAAATTTGTAAAGCCATCAAGTGCTTCGGCAAAGATGTTCATATATAAGCAGGGAACCTAGAAGTGCAATCCCGTGTAGGTATAGCACCCTGGGCCATCTCAGTCAGGCTCTTACTGTACACTACATGGCTCATGGTCTGATCTGCACCAGTATTCTAAGGCTCACTTTAAAATCCAAAAACCTATTTTAAACCTGAACGCCCGTTTCACCCGCAGGTGAATGCTTTCAAGTTCACTTCCTTCATGATTTTGCTTTGTCCTGATAGTCTCACTGTGCAGCTGCAAATATTCTCTCTTCTGAGGTGACTTCACACACTGTTGAACCTCGCTGTAAACAATGTATTCCTACAGCAGCGTACTGCTGTAGGAGTTAAGGCAATCCATTTCTGTGCTTCGTCTGTGACAAAAGCTTCTCCCGAACCCAGAGGCACAAAGCTCTCAGTGCATATTAAGCTTACCTGACACACTACACAAAATACCCTCTTCAACCACAAAAACAAAGCTCTTAGTACATACTAAGCATACCAAATATAATTCTTAAAATGTACATGCTTTTCTTAACTGCCTGTGCATGTGACCTCTCAAAAGTGCTAACTAAATCACTTAGCAAAAGATGGCTAGTCAAGATTTTTGAGCACCAGTCCCCCTCCAGTTTTTTTTTTAGTTAAGAGGAAATCCCCAAAAAAGGCACTTTTGAAGCAAAAACAGTAGTTTTGCTAGATGATTTGATATGGGAGTGCAATCAATCATAGAATGTAATTTGCCTCCACTAAACTTTAAATGCTGCGGTGAAAAGATTTTTCAGTCGCGTCTGCTTTAGTTTAATAAATATTCTCACAATAAAACCACAAATCTTTTTACTTACACTTGGGATTTAAAGCAACTGATCTGGTGCAGAACAAACATGAGCCCACAAACTTTAGAGAGTAGCAGCCACCTATCCTCATCCGACCACTATCACTTCTCCTCAGCCCACCTGATGCTCTCCACGGCTGATGTGAGATGAGAACTCGTAGCGGTCCTGGCTGCGGTGGCCACAGATGTTGCACTCAAAGGGTTGGTGGAAGCCGTGACAACCCATGTGGATGGTGAACATGACATGGTCCAGGAAGAGAATGCGACAGTGCTGGCAGTGGAAGGAGCGCACAGGACGGCTATCCCTGTCTAACACCTGCACAGTCTCCCTGGAAGAAAGGAGTGAGCTAGGGCTCCTCTTTACTATGGAGGGCGGCACAGGACACGCTCTCTCCCACTCTTGGTCCAAGTCTTTGGCCTGGCTGGGGCTGGAAGTGGGATGGCTGCGGGGCAGTGCTAGGGTTTGGTAGTGGAGGTGGTGGTTGTTGGAGGTACTTGTTGGGGCTGTAGCCCTTGTGCTCTGCTCTTCTGCTGTGCTCTCTGTGTCTGTAGAGTCGGGGCAGCCATTGGGCGAGGTGGTGTGGCTATGGGCTGAAGGTTGGTCATCGCGGCCTTCACCTGCCTCCCGCCCAGCCATGCCAAGAGGCATTGTTGTCGGCCCACCTCCACCATGGGCCCGGGGGCCCTGAGGAGTCATGTTGCTGTTGATGGAGCCCATAACTGTGCGTAGCTCTGACAGGAAGGCAGGATGGAGCTGAGACAGTGCAGGTGGCTCATGGTTCTCCCCTTTACCCCTGCCACCTTGATGGTGTGAACCAGCCAACCCAGCAGTGTCCCCAGCAGGCTGAGAGCTCATAAGGTCCCCCTCCCTCTCAGAGCCAGAGGACAATTCATAAGGTGCTTCAGGTAGGTCGAGGTGCATGTGCTTTTCACCTATGAAAAGGATATCCATAATAAATAACAATTAAGATGGAGAGTCTCTTAGACTGACTTCATATGCTCCATCTGGTCCAGCATGGACCAACTGTCTCCAAACTGGCAACAGGTTCTTATTATTTCCATACATCCTTAGCACATCAAACAGAATATATATAATTATTATTATAGCATACATTAAATTAAAAGTAGAATGTATATGTGTAATAGGTTATAAATAGATTTCTACACAAAACTAAAAACTCACCCAAAAACTTCTGTGGTGTTGATCTCTTGCGTTTGGTGATGCTAATAGCCAGTCTATCCACAAACTGGATTTTTTCATTGGATGGCTGGAGCACAGGTTTAGAAATTGTCTCCATATTTAGCGACTCTTCACCTGCAAACAGAAAGCCCCATTGTCATCAATATAGCGAATCATTATGTGTATAAATATGCTGTACTTGCTTTATTCAGTCTTTTTGCATTTACGGTCATGCAGGAACTTACAGGCCTATTGTCTATAAAAGTTAGTGAGTTTAATGTTTGTGTGATATATTACCCTGTGCTGTTTTGGAGTTGACTGCAGTCTGGTGGTCAAGACTCTTCAGATAACTATGGCACCGCTCTTGATGTTCATCCAGTGTGTTTTGTTGTTTATAGCTGCGACTACAGTAGCTGCACTTGAAAGGTTTTCCCACCGTTGGAGAAGAAACTGCAATTCACAGAAAAAACATTAATTGATTTCTTCCGAGAAAGACAAAATGGGATTTTTATCAAAAGAATGACTTATTATTAGCTCGATTTGAGAGAGTGGATTTCCCCATTGATTGGCAAATTATACTATGTTGCTTGCCAATGACGACAAAAAAAACTCCTAACCCTTCACCGCAATGTTTCCTCTTAGTAAGCCATCGGACGGTCGTGACGTCAATTCGCTGAAATCCAGTTTGCAAAAATCTTTTCTTTGAAAATGAACCTCTTAGAGCCCAGAGAAGACTCGGAGAAGACCTACTGTACCAGAGGTTTATGAAAACACCTGTTGAATGTGTTGACAAATTGAAAGCAGGATTTCCTGTTTTCACAAACTGTTAAATGTCATATTGTCATGTGTACAGTAGATTCTGGTAAAGACCTATTTCCTCTGAGCTTCACGGTTGGGGGAAATGGATTGTTCTAATAAATATCCACTTCTTGTTGTTTCATGCATTATACCTCATCACAATAAGGAATAATATTGTTATGTAACAACTGCATCCATCAGGTTCAATAACTGAATCGGTACACCTATAAAAAAAAAAAATCTCTTCATGGCATATATTTGATTTGTTAGATACTGTTGTATTGTACTTAGAGCTCACTGATTTACCTGCATGTGTGCGCAGATGTCCAGCCAGGGCATCTCTCCGGCGACAGGCATAATTGCAAACGGGACATTTGAAAGGCTTCTCTCCCGAATGCAACTTGATGTGGCGCAACAAGTTCCCCTTCTGGGTGAAGGAAGCTCCACACTGGTTACACTGGAATGGCCTCTCACCTGAGAACACATAGGACGGACAGAGGACTTTAGAGGTAAATCATTTAATGTTTTGCCTTTATTTATTTACATTTAGGGTAATAAGAAACTTTAACCATAAAATGTATTTGTCTTGAATTGTCGTGAGCACTTCCTTGCTGGCTTGTTCACACCTGTGTGGCTACGCTTGTGCACCATCAGCACGTTGGGTCCAATGCAGATCATCCCGCACACCTCACACTGGAGCTTCCCATTAGGGAGCCGGATAGGTCCTGGTGAAGCAGCATTTGGACTGGCCATCTCACTGTAAACGCTCGCTCTATCTCTTCCAGCACCAGCGTACTCTGTGCTTCCTTCTTCCATGGGGTCCCCTCTTTCATCCTTCCTGCTATCATCCTTCACAGCCTCTCTGTTCTCTGGCTGTGGAGCGCCCGGTGACTCATCATCACTGCACAGCTCGACCTTAATGGAGTTTGCTGTGTTGAGAGAGGATGAGAGAAGACACATTGTCATTCATACATAATTTTAATAAAATAATTCTATACAGGCCATTTGGCCACAATGAAACCCGGGAACCATAACTGACCACTAAGGGAGCGGTGTGGTGAGGACTGATGACTGTTTGGAGATCTCGCTGAAGGGCCCTGCAACCCGCCATAAAAATCCTGCTCCATTGATGACTCCCCTCCATTACCTGAAACACAAATATGCCCACGTTATTAAAGTAAACATTAAAGTGTGGAGACTGTACACACAAATGTATAGTAGCTTCTCCTTTATATGTAAACGTACCCTGTGCATATGAGCGTCCATTGCAGTCATCAGCATTCATTCTCTCACCAGATGCCTACGGAAATATGATTTTTAAAAAGAGAGATTGTCAATATTAGTTTTTCCCATTCAGACCCAAATTTCCAAATCTTAGTCACATGCCTATGAATCTAACCATATATACTTACCAGCTGTGTGTGTCACAAGAATAAGGCTAGGAAACCGATAGCTTTATGCTTTCACTTCCAAGTGTCTAATAATAAGTAACACTGTAATAAACTAATCCAGTAAACTTGGATTCCGCCCGCTATTTCTGTATCATGTAGTTTCTTCTTCACCGTGGCCAGCAGATGAATATGAGAGGCTACCCATTTATAGAGTGGAGGAGGAGTTAAAACTGCCGTGGGTGGACAAAATAGCTGGAACAATTTACTCTATAAAGACATCAAGTGTAAAAGCGCCAAAACTACGCCCCCTCGATTGGAAAGTTTGACATAATCTCACCAAATTATAAAATTAAGATATTAAGATTAAATTTAATTGATCCCAGGAGAAACATGCATCATTAGGAGAAGATGAAGATAGCAAGACAGGAGAGGAATACAGATGAGTAGGGAAAAAAACAATCCAAGTTAGACAAGTTAAGCTGTATGTAGTATTTTACCCAACCCAGTGTGCATAAATGGAGCAATTTCTTATAATCTCTCTATTTATGATATACATGTATGGCTATATATCATAAATCTTATTTCATTGAATTTTGTTGGGATTACATTTATAGGTTATGTTTATTTTATTGTAAATTGTTCCTGTTATTTTGTCCACCCTCTGTGTGTATGTGCAATAGGCTAATAATAATTAACATGGGAAATGTAGGCCTACTGTAGGTTACTGTAGGTACAGTTACTCCACTGCAGACAATAAAGTGTGGTATGTAGAAAAACACCAATTTGAGTTACATTTTACATCCATGCAGTGTATATTTTAGTATGTATATTATTGTGGCCAGACTTCAGGTGAGGATTTCATGTTGGAAAGAAGAGAGAGAGAGAGAGAGAGAGAGAGAGAGAGAGAGAGAGAGAGAGAGAGAAAACACCCAGATGTGCAATGCTGCACCTTTTGCTCAAATGGATGACAACAATGGACAGAGGAGTCTGTGGAGAGAGCGAGGGGAGGGGGGGCGGAGACAACACATCGCAGGGAAAATTAATATCCTGGCATTGGCCGCGCATGGGGAGCAACAGGCGCTGATGCAGCCGGGAGACGCACCAGTCACACTAGGGCACGGCGATTAAAGAAAAAAGGGACGCGCAACCACAGCGCCGACCCTTGCCTGACAATCCCTCTCAGCCCGAGATGGGCGACTGTGCAGTGAAAACATATTTTTCTAAATAACTATCACGCTTCTCCATATATCCGTGACTACTTGTTCTTAGCTGCTCGGTGGATTTGGTCCGTTACGGCACCAATCAGCTCACTGACGGTCGAGACAGCGGCGAGACACGGCGGCAATTTGTTGCAGGAGTTGCCACTGTCCAAATTGTCCGCATGAACGCAGCTGTCATCAAATATCGAGCACGTCAAACTGGCCTGAGCTATACAATGTTTCTCATGAGCCGTTGCTATGGCACCCGACCACACGACAAATGGCATTCACCCTACCAACTACTCAAAAACATGCCGTACTTCCGAATTAAAACCGATGGATGGTCTTACCAAGCGCCGTGGTGAAGTCCACAAGCCTCTTCCTTACCTGGCGACCGATCGGTGTTTTCCTTTTTAATTGTCTGGATAGCTGTTTGTTTTCCCAGGCGACGACAGCATCTCCGGGATTTTTTTTTACCTGGGAATCCCAAACAACTTCCGGGCCCATGCTGGGATGCAGACCGAATAATTGTACAACAGAGCTCTTGATTCAGTGATTGTCGAATGCATCGATGCATGTCAGCTCCGGGTACAGGTGGCAAAAATGTGGTGACATTTATGCCATCAGAAGAGCTCACAGGCTCAACGCAAGACGGTACACTGCTGCGAGTGACTGTGTGTTTAAGAAATACTGGCTACAAGCTGAGCAGGCTGCTGGATTCAGTAAAAAGGACTCACTGGAAATTCAGACATTGTTTATGATCAAGGCTTCTTCCGGAAATGCTGTTGGAGAATGGAGTAGGCGGGTTATTTTACATTTTCTGTTTCTCTTTGTCTTCTGTCCATATACATTTATTGCATAATTATTATATACATTTAATAATTAATTTTGATATTCACGTTGTGAAATGAAAATAATAACTTATTGGCAGTGGTAGTTTAGCGTTTAATAACAAAAAAGCACATGCAAACAGAAGTAAAATTGTGATGAAATAGTTTATGGTGATAGTCTATTACATCTGTAGCACCACCAGGTGGCAGCAAACTGCTCTTTGAGACTAACTCTGCCAAGTAACCAATCAGACAGCTGTGTAATAATGTCTTTGTGCGTGCTCTTGATTTCCATGAAAATAAAAAATAATGAGATCAGGAGTCTCACTGTGCCCTGGCAACTATTCAGGCCACTCAGTAAGGAAAAAAGGGCAACTATTTGAATCGATGAGGTCTGTGCCTTCACAGAAGGACTTCATAAGCTTCCTGGATCTTCTACTTCCAGTGACAACACCTGCAACACAAATATATCCAGATACACAGTTTGGATAGCCAGCAAATATCCAACAGTGCTGCTACACAGTCAGACAGGTAATACAGGGTGGCTGCGGTGTTATGGAAAATACAACAGAGCAGAGAAAGCCAGCCCAGCTAGATCAAGCCTGTAAAGCTGTGGACCTGCAAAGGGCAAAAATAAATGTAATTTTAGTAGGCCTTAAAATTGAAAACATATGACCTCTCTGATCCAGCCAAATCTAAATCCAGTAACAAGCGTAATTGCAAATATGACATTTGAAAGGCTTCTCTCCCCCGAATGCAACTTGATGTGGCGCAACAAGTTCCCCTTCTGGGTGAAGGAAGCTCCACACTGGTTACACTGGAATGGCCTCTCACCTGATAACACAAAGGACGGACAGAGGACTTTAGAGGTTAATCATTTAATGTGTTGCCTTTAGTTATTTACATTTAGGGTAATAAGAAACTTTAACCATAAAATGTATTTGTACTCTGTGCTTCCTTCTTCCATGGGGTCCCCTCTTTCATCCTTCCTGCTATAATCCTTCACAGCCTCTCTGTTCTCTGGCTGTGGAGCGCCCGGTGACTCATCATCACTGCACAGCTCGACAGTGTTGGGCTAGTTACTCAAAAAAGTAATTTATTACTTGTTACTAATTACTCTTTTTAAATATAATGTTACTGTACTTAGGCCAAAAGTAATTAGTTACACTACTAGTTTTATTACTTTTCCCAAAAAATTGAATATTTCCAGCTGCTAAATATAAGCGTTTCCATCTTCCAATCTTGTTTCCTTCACGATTACAAAAATGAATCCAAGGATGTGATTGGAATTCAGATCAGTCGGGGTGCCAACAAAAGTAACATTGTAACTAATTATTTCTTGGGTTGGTTACTGTAATAATATTACTGAAATGTATTAGTAATTAGTAACACTACTAGTTACTGAGGAAAGTAATATTATTACAGTAATATGATTACTAGTAATGAGTTAATGCCCAACACTGCAGCTCAACCTTAATGGAGTTTGCTGTGTTGAGAGAGGATGAGAGAAGACACATTTACATTCATACATAATTTTAATAAAATAATTCTATACAGGCCATTTGGCCACAATGAAACCCGGGAACGATAACTGACCACTAAGGGAGCGGTGTGGTGAGGACTGATGACTGTTTGGAGATCTCGCTGAAGGGCCCTGCAACCCGCCATAAAAATCCTGCTCCGTTGATGACTCCCCTCCATTACCTGAAACACAAATATGCCCACGTTATTAAAGTAAACATTAAAGTGTGGAGACTGTACACACAAATGTATAGTAGCTTCTCCTTTATATGTAAACGTCCCCTGTGCATATGAGCGTCCATTGCAGTCATCAGCATTCATTCTCTCACCAGATGCCTACACAGTATGATTTCTTTTTTTTTAAAGATATTGTCAGTATTAGTTATTCCTACTTAGTCACATGGCTTTGAATCTAACAGTATGTATGAGCCGTTGCTATGGCACCCGACCACACGACAAATGGTATTCAACCTACCAACTACTCAAAAACATGCCGTATACTTCCGCTTTGAAACCGATGGATGGTCTTACCAAGCGCCGTGGTGAAGTCCACAAGCCTCTTCCTTACCTGGCGACCGATCGGTGTTTTTTTTCTTTTTAAATTTGTCCGGATAGCTGTTTGTTTTCCCAGGCGACGACAGCATCTCCGGGATTTTTTTGTCTGTTTGTTTTTACCTGGGAATCCCAAACTTCCGGGCCCATGCTGGGATGCAGACCGAATAATTGTACAACAGAGCTCTTGATTCAGTGTTTGTCGAATGCATCGATGCATGTCAGCTCCGGGTACATTTATTGCATAATTATTACACACATTTAAAGCTTCAGAGCGCCTGAATGTGCACATGGTGTCTTTCTAGTCCCACAGCTTTGCAAGCACATACACCCAACAAAAATACATCAAAACGTGTGGCTTGATCGGGAATAGTGTGCAATGACTTTTCTCATTGATACATTTCATAATTTCCGAAATATTCAACGTTTTCTGGCGATTTTTCCCCCATTCATTCCTTATGGAGAATTCCCAGTTTTCCATGATTTTTCAACTCTTTCAACTACCCATTCATACATTCACATAGAAACTCCATTCAAACTTTAAAACGTTCACGATAAGTAAGACTTTATTTCAGCTTTTTCATATCTTTCATACTTTTTACACAATCATGGTTAAAACTTAATGAAAATGTCAGTGCTTTTGAGAGTTTTCCATTAGTGTGTATTGCGTGGAATGTTCAGAGCTAGAGAGGGTGACAACATTACTAGAAGGTCTAAAGTTCTTGTCTTCAACTTGCTCTCAGAGCCACAATTGTCACTCCATCTACATCATTTTAATCAAAACGTAGGAAAGTGAGTGCCGGTCACAGACATGTAACTGTGGAAGCAAATGGAGTTACACTTAAGTCTTAATGAGCTTCCAAGCAACAGGAGCGCCAACCAACTGCTGCATTAACTTCCATATGAGGTGGGAGAAGAAATTTCAGGAATGAAGCAGAAGCAGCCACTTCTTCCAGCAGCTAGTGTGGTCACATTTTTACTCTACAGACACAAATCTCACTAAATGTGTTCAGCAGGCTCTTGTCTTGCTGACAATATCCCCATTTTGGTGATAGGAGTCACGGTTTAGGTGCTACAAGTGTAATCATGAGAGGTGTCACTCAGCTAAAATCTCTATGAAATAAAGCCTCCGACCCACAGCAGGTACCATTACCATGGCAACCCTTAATTGGAGTTGGGAGCACACAGCTGATTGAGATGACCTAATTAACACAGTTAGGCTTTAAACTAAATTCAAATAATCTAATATTCAAGATAGAGAGACTCCAAAGATTGATAGAGTAAATGTATTTCAACAGGAAGCGCAGGATGACCCTTGCTTTTCAAAATAAAGACCCCAATAGCTTCTTAACAGGAGGCAACACACCGAGCATTCAGGCGCACTCAAAATTTCTTGAGAAATGTTCTAGTTAATTTTAATATTCACGCTGTGAAATAAAAGGAAACTTCTTGGCAGTGGTAGTTTAGTGTTTAATAACAAAAAAGCACATGCAAGCATTTAAAAGTAAAATTGTTGTGAAGAAATAGTTTATGGTGATAGTCATCTGTAGCACCACCAGGTGGCAGCAAACTGCTATTTGAGACCAACTCTGCAACGTAACCAATCAGACAGCTGTGTAATAATGTCAGTGTCTTTGTGCGTGCTCTTGATTTCCATGAAAATAAAAAATAGTGACTGAAAAACAATGAGATCAGGAGTCTCACTGTGCCCTGGCAACTATTCAGGCCACTCAGTAAGGAATGAAGGGCAACTATTTGAATCGATGAGGTCTGTGCCGTCGCAGAAGGACTTCATAAGCTTCCTGGATCTTCACGAACGTTGCCTCAGCCTCCTTGCTGGGGTTGTGGTCTGGATGCCATGTCTTGGCCAGCTCCCTGTAGCTGCGAGTTATCTCCTCAAGAGAGGCCTCTACTTCCAGTGACAACACCTGCAACACAAATGTGTCCAGATACACAGTTTGGAAATTATAACTTTGCCAGAGCAGTGACTGACGTACAGTATACACCTCGAACAATCACTATCTTAACTCATCACTTATATAGCCTTTCCAGAGATATGAGATTGCTCACCTGCAGTGCCTCTTTTTCTTTCTCAGTGTATTCTTTGAGCAGTATTTCCAGCACTTTCCTCCAAGCCTCTTCATAGTACCCCCCTCCAGTAAAAAAACACAAGACCCGATATGGCATTAAAAGAATGTACTCCAACACACTTCTGAGCCAAGGCAGAAACCAGAAAATATCCAGCAGTGCTGCTACACAGTCAGACAGGTAGTACAGGGTGGCTGTGGTGTTATGGAAAATACAGTAACCCAACGGAGCAGAGAAGGCCAACCAGGCTAGACCAAGCCTGTAAAGCCGTGGACCTACAAAAGGCAGAAATAAATGTCACTTTAGTAGTCCTTAAAAATTCAGAGAAGCAATGTTATCAAGGTATGCTATTGTCATATATACATATCACCTCACCTAGGTTCTGTTTGCTCTCAGGTGTCTGTGGGGGTTTGAACCTGCTGTGCTGTGCTGCAGTGACACTGGCAGCCAGGCTTATAGGGAGAGGTGATAAAGTGCTACCATAGAAAATAGGAGAGGTTATGAGACAAGCAGTCAAAGTTTTTTGAAGATCTGAAGTCTGCTGACCAACACTGGACACCAGATGTACCCCTGCACCCACACACAAAGGCAGAACAATCAAGTAGAAGAAACTGAGGGAGCTCAGTCCTATCAGAGCCACAGTGCCAAAGTAGATCCCAACACACACTTGTCCAGCAAATCTGACAGGGCCTACAGATGGAGGAACCTTGATGGGGGGTCTTTTTCTTTCTTTCTCTGCATCTTGATTGGCCTCACTGACATATGCAGGAATACGTATGAACTCTC